CCCCTGCCACTAGACCAGGTTGCTCAAAGACACGTCCAACCTTGTCTTGAACACTGCCAGGGGTGGGGTATCCAAACCTTTTCTGGGCAACCTGTTCCAGTGCCTCATCACCCTCACAGTAAAGGGCCACACCACCCTCCTTCTCTCTAATCTAAATCTATCCTCTTTCAGTTTAAAGCCATTCCCCCTTGTCCTATCCCTACAGGCCCATGTCAGAAGTCCCTCCCCAGATTTCTTGTGGGCTCCTTTAGGCACTGGAAGGTTGCTATAAGGTCTCCCTGGAGCCTTCTCTTCTCCAGGCAGAACAACTCCTAGTTCTCTCAGGCTGTCTTCATAGGAGAGGTGCTCCAGTCCTTGGAGCATCTTCATGGCCTCCTCTGGACTCACTCTCACAGGTCCACGTCATTCTTGTTTTGGGGGTTACAGAGCTGAATGCAGTAGTGCAGGTGGGGTCTCATGAGAGCAGAGTAGAGGAGCAGAATCACCTTCCTTGACCTGCTGATCACACTTCTTCTGACACAGCTCAGAATATGGTTGGCTTTCTGGGCTGTGAGCACATACTGATGGGTCATGATCAGTTTCTCATCAACCAACACCTCCAGGTCCTTCTCCTCAGGGCTGTTCTCAATCCAGTCTCCACCCAGCCTGTATTTGTTCTTGGGATTGCCCTGACCCCGGTGCAGGACCTTGCACTTGGCCTTATTGAACTTCACAAGGTTTGAGTGAGTCTACCCCTCAAGCCTGCCAAGGTGCCTCTGGATAGTCTTATTCCCTGGCAAGCTGCATTCAGTTTCCATGTTCTTTTCTAAATGCTTGCTCAGTTGACACTACATTACTTCATCTAGTTCATCATCCTGAGTCCTACCTACAGCAGAGAACTGAGTTGAGACTGGCATCTGAGAGAAAAAGCCCACAGTGCTGGGAAAGCAAACACTTCCTCCTATCTAATCTGCATTCTACGGGCCAGTGGAGTTGCACCATCAAGATATTTTCAGGAGCCAGGAAAGGACACCTTGGCAAGTGCCAAATATTGTACCAGAAGTGAGGTCCCTTTCCATCCAGCATCTCCAGGAGCTGCTATCCTGGCAGTACTTCCAGGTAGCCAGGGCCCAAAGAGTGGTGATACATCTGTGTTTTGGGTGAGCCTGTAGATCAGGCATGTGAAGTCAAGGAACTGACCCCTCTTGCTGAGGGACCCACTACCGGAAACCCAAAAGAAAGTGTTTGTGGACAGCAGCAATGCTGCTGCAGTATGAGACTGCAGCACATGTTGTTGGAGCACATGATCCCACAGGGAGCGAACGTGCATCACCATGCCTTTCTAGAGTACTACCTTGGACCACATTCCTGTGACTGAACAAGATGTGCCAGATGTGACTTAAGTGAGCTCCAGCTAGGCTGATGTGTAATTTGAAGGACTGAGCAGAACAGCTTTTGACAAGGTGTGAAAGGCAACTTCAGCAAGGGAGCACCATTGCAGTTCAGGGCTGTTAAGAGGGACACCAGCACATAATAGATGGGGGTGAAGGGCTGAGGAGGGGGAAGCCCAGATGACATGTAGCTTCTTCTGGGGGAAGAAGGGGGAAATAAAGGAAATCCCATGCTAAAGCAGGTGAGTCCCATGGAAGAAAACATGTGCTGAACCTGATTAGCAGCACATGGGTAGGTGGTATTCAAAGCACTCAGGCTTTCATCAGCAATAATAACATTCAGAAGGAGGTGGAGGTGTGGGAAAGAACAGGATTAAAAAACACCCATTACCATGTATCAAATCACTGGCGTCGTCTCCGGTGAACAGCTCATCAGAAACAGTGGGATCTGGAAGAGGACAGCCGCCATACGAGAGGCAGGCACTACCAGATCTCCCTGCATGAGCAGATGACTGCGTAGTGCCAGGTCTGGAAGTTGTCAAGGGTCTTGGGCTGCATCTAGACTGCCGTGCTACTGCCCCAAGACATGGATCTAAGAGAGAGATTTTGCTAGAGTAAGCACAGTCATTCAAGGCTTCAAACCACACCATCGCCGTACACTGCCAATATGGGGACTGCTGCTGCACACCTGGAGCTGTAGGAGACAATAAACCATGTCACTGCAGACAGAAGAAACATGCTAGAATGGGTCAAGCCCAGAGACAGAAGGCTTCCTGGTGCTGCATGCAGTCCCCCATAGCTGTCTGTCCTCTGCAGACAGTAGAACCCGGGGATCCCCAATTAAACCAAAGTCTCTTCCCACCCTCCTCCTTCTTCTGGACACCAGAGACTGACTGGTGGCTGAATATGGGGTCAGGAACTGTTATGTGCTCACCACCCACCTCCAGTTGCCCCACAGGTGAGCCTGGATGTATCCAGGGCTCTGCTACTTCCCCTGTCTGCATATCTAGGGTAAGAGCATGCTGCCTCTCATTTGCTGCCCATCTGCCTGTGGAGGAACCACTGCAGGCTTGCTACAGGCACAGTCCAAGCCCCCAGTCTTACAATATATTGCTTAAATGCCCAGGCATAATGCAGATGGTGACAGCCACCTTACCAGAGCTATTAGACAATCAGGGCAAACTACATACCAGGAGCTATGGAAATCTGGGAATGGCAGTGATAGATTTTTCCAGTACTGCATCAGAGACAGACACTTCTCTACCATAGAAAGAAAGGTGAAAACTGAGGTTTCATAATGCTACAGGGCAGGGTGGATAATACAAAAGCTAACTAAGGCAGATAGAGCCCTGCCCTCTTGCCTGCCCAACCACTGGCTGTCCTGGGAGCACATCACAGCTGTAAGAGCAGCATGTGCAGCCAACAACCCATAGGAGAGCGAATTTCATTACAAAGCATGCCATTCATCTAGGCACTGAAAAGTCTTGAGTGTCTACTAGCTTAACAGTGGAGCACTCAGCTCTGTAATAACATGGCCATTTCCTTAAGAGCTGAGCGTTAGGGACCTGTAAAATATCTGGGCCATAGCTGTTAATACAAACTCATGAAAAACACAGTGCGTGAAAAGCACCGGAGTCAACATTGCTCTAGGAAAGAAACAAATAAGGGGATGTTTGAACCTGACCATATGAGCTCATGAGTTCAGAGCTGAAGGCAAGAATATGAATCTGGTTACACTAGGAAATAATAGGAACTTACAATTTTGTGCCCTGTCCTTAGTGTTTCTGGCAGCTTACTTTAGTTAACTAGTTTTCTGAACCATCGCTATGTTGCCAAAGCAGGATCATTGAGGGATCAGATTTTAATGGATTTTTTTCTCTACAATAACTTCTATTACAACTACTGATTTGTATCCATAGGGATTAAATAAATGACAAATGTGTGTACATATTAAAAAAAAATTAAATATTTAATGGAATACACTTGGCAGGCAAACCACAATGGGGGTGGGGGAGAGGCCTGGGAAGCCAAGTGCATTGCCCACACTAATGGGGAGCAACAGGAACAGTGGTAGGAAATACTTGGCAATATTTAATGGTACGTGGCAAAATGCATGTAGGATGATACATAAAAGTATGGACAACTGAACTATAACCAAGGCTACAGGCAAGGGGACAACAGATTTTATTTTTCCAAAACCATTTACTCCCTAGTAATGAATGTAACGGACTCAGAGAGGCAAGGAAAATGGAACAGATCTCCATGCAATCTCAGTTGCTAGGATGTTGCTACCATCGCAAGGTGGTGACCAAATTGCCTTTCCTATTATTAAATTGGAGTAGGAAATCCTGCTACATCCACCCAATGTAGGATTGACTGCTACCATGGAAAGGGCTATGAAGAGCAGCTGTTGAAACATTCCTTTCCAAGCTTTGCTTCTTCCCATCATGCAGAATTAATGCGAAGCGCAGACGTCCAGCTACTATTGGATCTGCTTTATGCTCTAGAAGTCATCTGCATTTTTCTGATCTTGATGCAGAGCTTAGGACAGCTTTCATTTTAACCTACACCATGCTGAATTCTAGCTTCCTCACTTTCCAAGACACAACAACATCTTTTGTTCCTCCACTGTAATTAAATGTTGGCTTTGAAGAGGCCAGCTTGCTCTTCATCTTTCTTTTTAACACATCATAACCTGAAAAATGAACCCCGACAGGAAACCTGACATACCTAACCATGAAATTTCTCCAGCTAAACCACCTTCCTTGATGGATTCCTTGATGATTAGCCAATCCTCATGCATCTTACTGGGAGGAAGGAGAGCAGTCTGGCTTGCTGGTATTTCGTCCAAATACTCCAAGTGGGGAATGAGTTTTTTTACTTCAGCTCTGTAATTATAATCTGGTTCCTGGTGAAATTGAGAAAGTGGTCACTTGAACAGTTGATTTAACAGACTGTGGACTTCCACTAGCAGCACAGCAGTGTTCAAATTGTATGACTACCATATAATTTGAAACGCCTTTGATGAGGCAAACCTATTAATTCAACAGAAATAAAGACGGTCAAGAGTTTAATCTCACTGTTCTTTCTCCTTGCATAATTTCTACTAAAATTTATTGTGAACATGCCCTGAGCAGTGCAAACACATGACACCTGCCCAAAGGCTCCTTTGCTGTTTACCCACATGATTGTGGCATTTATCTTTGTTTTATTATGTATAATGTACGAAAGTGTACAAAGCCACTAATGCCCATGGAAAGCCTGGGCACCCTCAGCATTCAGCCAGCCTCTCTCCCTGCTTTTGTGATTCTCTGGTTGCTGCATCAATACTCAGGTGATAGGAAGACTTGAAAACACGTGATGAGTTTTGCTAAAGCTGCTGATGGAAAAGAGCGTTTTCATGGACTGTGTTTTTAGGCACACCCATAAACCAGGTACAGTGAGTGAACTGCACTGGTTTTCTGAGGCAGTCTTAAGGGGGTTGGTGTGGGATTTTATACACTGTTAGCTTACTTCAAACTACACTTTCTTCTGCAAGAAGTCACATACCAACAGCAGGTACACAGAAAGCTAAAATGGACTGCACTTGGGTTTCTTTTCTGTGTGCTGCAAAAACAATGCCATTGCTCCCAAAGCACATGGACTAAGTGTGACGATCATGGGGGAAAGCACGGGTATAGCCCCTTCTGCATGTGTGTGGGGAGCTGACATGTTATAAAATTATGCACAAGCACATGCCAATGCCTCAGGACCCCTGAACAGCAAGGCCAATCCAGAACAGTTACAACTGTGCTCAGAGCACACTGCAAATTGGGCTGTTTTGGTGGGTTCAGGTGGTGTGAAGACACCTTCATGTGGCACCTTTGTCTCTGGCAAAAGTTAGCAATACAGCAGGGCTGACTGGGTTGTGCGGCTTTGCAATGGGAATATTTTTGGTTAAAATAGTCTTAGATTACAAAAAGCAGCAATGATGAATGATACTAAAAGCAAATACAAAGCAAGAGCGCACTGCTAGTGGCAGAATATGAATGGACAGCTCCCTGCAAATCAATTGCTTCATCCAGATAAATGTTATAAATGTTATGCTTTTCAAGATATTGCATGCAATATTAGAAAACCTCACAAAGCCAAGTCCTCATTCAACACAGAGCTGTCACAAAGAGAAATCTTTCTGTTGCACCTGGCTGGCTGTATGCTCCCTTCCTCTGCACAATGCAGCACTGAGGCTGGCAGGGGGAATTCACCAAATAAAGGGTGTGTTTCTTGTTGTTGAGAGGCAAACACTGGAGTTCTCTAACTAAGCCTTTAATCTTAATTTAGAAAATGAGTCAACCAATCGCCATGCTACCCTGTACCACATGTACTCTGAACAGTGTCTGGGCTACAGCCGATTTCCAGGCATGTCCTACTGGAGAGGAGCATCATATTACACTCGTGGTACATTAGTGCGGCAGAGGCTGCAGGATTTATCATCAGGTTGGTGCTCTTGGTTTCGATAACAGGGGAAGATGAGCTCATCTGAAAATCAAATTACAGAGAGCAAACAGGCTGTCTGAAGAAAAAGCAGTAAATTTAGCTGGACCACTCTGTAGATTAAAAGTAAATAAATAGGAGAGCTTTTCACAGAGCTGTAGCAAGGGCCAGACTGCAAGAAGGAGCTTGAAGAATTAGAGCTGCCCATTTAGGGCACAGCAAAATAAGCCCATGTCTATTATTTTCTGTATTTCAGGTTCTATACCCTGAAGAAATACAAACTTCAGTTGAAACCGAGAAAGAAACAAAGTCCATGGAGAAACTCTCAGCAGCTGAGGGAAGGGCCACCTTTGTAATCACCCTGGGGCTGAGCAGCTTCCCAGCATGAAGACTGGGTCAGAGACTACAGTGAACTTACAGTCTGTCTCTGTTACGGTTCAGTGTAAAACACACCATCCCTTGCCAAATTCTGTCTGGCATTTGAATGCAGCTAATAGCACAGGAGTAGAGACAGCCTTTCAGCGTGGAGAATAGCAGTAGGGCACACTACCACACACCACTCCTCTTTGAACTCCTGCTATGTGACAACACACAGCAGCATCCCAAGGACTCATTTCCTCAGCTAAACAAACCAAGGACAATCTGTCATTTCTCCATTACAAGTACATTTAAGGACTGAAGATGCCAAGAGAAAACTACATCCTCCAAAATAACCACTTTTGCCTGTCAGGAATGATGAGAGTCTTTCTATGCTGTTAAGATATACTGCACCATTTTCAAGGTAGGAAGCTATGATAAGGAAGTGTTAGAAGTTGTATTTGGCTCCATGAGAGCCAAAAAAATAAGCATACTTTGTTCATCAGAAGCAGGCAGTGCTTCCTTACTGTAGGAATATATTTTTTCCTCTCATGATTGCATCATTTGGTTACAAATAGTTACAAGTGTAGTCTCTGAAGTATACTTCTACCAGTTCAAAACAGAAGGGCAAGAGTACAATATTTTCTTTTGTATTCTAGAGAGGAATATTATCATAGCTAAAGCACTACGTTCTGTGGCTCATTTTACTGAGGGATATGATCAAGCCAACAATTAAATCTGAAAAATGCTAATAACTCATCTATATAAGAAGTGAGAATATTTAAAATACGTGTATGTCTACTACATGATTGACTGTTAGCGATAGCACCTCAGTTTTCAAGTCGAAATCCAGGACAAATATCAAACCCAACCCTTTATGAAAATTAGTAGCATGGGCATGATCATTTTGAAACGCACAGCGAAGCTATGGAACGTGGCACAGTGGAGTCCCAGCACCAAGCCCTGCTCTGCTTTCTAACCCTGCATTATCAGCTCTTTATGGAGTTATTGGGGATTGCAGCATTCAAAGTGAGTGCTGTGAATTACATAACTATGTGTATGCGCATAGGTCTGGGACCTTCCAAAAGACCTGGATGACAATATATTGTGCACCGGCCATAAACTGTCATCTGACGATATGCATTAGACATTATGTGACCAAAATGAGCAACAGTCTTATCTGACCAAGTTTTTTAAACTCTGCTTTTCCTCCAATTACTTTTTCAGTATATGACAAGATGCTTGTTTTTACATCCCAACAGATAATGTATCACTGTGTTTTCATCTTTATGACACAGAGGATCTCATGCCCTCAACAACCTCCACAGAACCTCCACAGAAATGGTTTTATAATTTCAGTACATAAAAGGTAAACTACTGTACTTTTTGGTCATTTGATTTTAACCTTTCAGGGAAAAGGACAAGTAGCAGCCCCTACAACACTGCTTTTCCTAGTTATCTCAAGCTTTGTTTTTCTGAGGGTTCAACTTTTGAATGTGGTGGTCCTGGAGCATTTGCTGTTGGACCAGAGAGCCTCCTAGAAGAAATGTAAAAGCCCAAATACATACAGGTAATTGAGACATTGCAATTGGCACATCTTGTAAGAAAATATTGGCTGCCTTCTAACCTGCTTCAAGATCCCTACAGGCTAGAAAGATCCAAATAGCTGGGGTCCACGCTCTCCTTGGTCTTCCTTTAAGATGTCTGTTTGCACTTGAAGCTGGGAGTAGACAGAACAGCTGTATAGATCAGAAAAAGCTCATTTCTAGTTCAATCCCATTCTCATAGGTAAAAAAGAACACACTGCTAGGAAACAGGCCTGAGTCTTCACTAGCACTCCTTGTATTTCATTTGTGCTCATCTTGGAGACAATATGCATGAGGAGACAATATCAACAGAAATAAAAATGGGAAATACATCCCATATCATCACTCAGAGTGATACAATAAGATGATGCAGAAACATTTCTCATTTCCAACTCAGAACTAAAAATGCATTGCCAAAAATTAACACAATATACACAAACCAAATTCTCACCTTTGCAGATTCTGCATTTGGCTTCAGACAAATAGAGTTGCCCTCCACTGTCAGGTGGCTCAACTTGCAACAAAGTCCCAGGTACTGCATCTGGTTGATGTCCTCAATATTGTTCCCTTCCAGGTCCAAAACCTCAAGTTGATCCAGCCAGGGCAGCTGGCTCAGCTCAGAGATATTGTTATAGGCTATGTAAAGTTCCTCAGCAGAAGTAAACAAAACAAACATGTAAGTCACAGGCTTGCACAAGCAACACTCAAGCTTTGCAAAATATTTTCTGATATTTGAAATATTACATGACAGCATGAAATTAGCATGCAAGTGAATGTCTTTCAAGTGTGGCTGTTGCCACCTTAAATAACTAGGGCTAATAGGGCAGCGAACACTATGCTGCATTAGGCATCTTCAGAATCAGACCTGAATGTTATACCTCATAAAAAAAAAATACTATGGCATCTTTTAAACTAACACATGCAATCCAAGGCATCTAACTAAAGTCCTTTAGAAAAACAAAGAGTGAGAAGAGAAAAAAGACTACAAGTAAAAAGTATCAACTGAAGAGAGTTTTGAGATTGTTATTTGGCAGGACACATCTATACTTACTCTTAGAGAGCTGCAGGAAGAGATCCCATCTAAATCCGAGAGCCCACAGTGAGCCATCCACAGGATGCAGAGATGGGACAATGTGGTTCCAAGATCCCTTATAAAAGAAACAATCCAAGCTCTATTTGAATGGATAAAGGAACTCAAAACTTGCTTCTTTTTCCTAAGACTAGGCCATTGCTACTTCCTTCAAATTTCACATTGCTTACAAGAAAGGTCATTAAAAATGTTCACCTTCAAAGATGGAGAATAAAATTATATTCCACTCTACCTCTCTCTCAGACATCTTTGTTCTTGTATGACAACATGTCGCTCCAGTTCAGTTTGATTAAGATTCTTCAAAGAGCTACGTCATGGTAATTCTGCCATAAATCGCAGGTAATTGCTAAGAATTAAGTGAAGTTTGTTTATGCTGGCATCATTCACTCTACACACATAACCCAAATTAACATATCTCAGCTGACTGCAAAGTCACCTCACTCTGTCCTCTTATGGAGTTACCTTTCTTCTGATTTTGCAGTTGAAAGGAATAGCACTCTTGCCAAATAACATTTTTTGAATGAGGAGAAAATTATAACCCTTTCCATCATATTTGCCTACCCTTTAGGTCTAGCAAAATATAAATAAGGGATCATTTATATGAATTCCAACTTTCCTGGTCCTAACCCAGAAAACCACATACTGACCTGCTTAAGTCCATTGCCACAGTGTGCAATAGAAAGATAATGCTAAATGCAGAAATGGTGGCAAATCAAACTTGGGGCTGAACCACCTTCCATTTTGGTAACACTAAGTTGCATTAAGCCACTACTCAATCATAACAAAATACGGAACTTTATGAAATAACAAAGCAATCAGAAACTCAGAATTCTTTACTGTAGCCATGATGGCAGGCTACCTGAATAATAAACAGCTAATCAGTGGGGAACTATACATGGGGACAGTTTATCAGAGGAGTTCACAGAATCACAGCAATGGCTAATGTTGGAAGGGACCCCTGGAAATAAACTTGTCCAGTCCTGCTCAGGCAGGGTCAGTTATCCAGGACCACATTCAAACAGCTAAAATGGTTCTTAAATAGAGATTCTTGGACTTAAAAATGGTGGATTAGCTATCTTCTAATAATATCAATTTTTATAATCATAGAATAGTTAGGGTTGGAAAGGACCTTAAGATTATCTAGTTCCGACCCCCCTGCCATGGGCAGGGACACATCACATTAGACCATGTTGCCCAAGACTCTGTCCACTATATGTTATAATAAATAAATCAATAATAATAATTAAATAATTATTTAATGCACTGTCTAGGCACAATTGCAGAAGAGAAAATAATATGGTCACGGTGTCCCTTCTGATCTTGGAATACAGTTCCCTTACTCATGTCTTCTTTCTATGGATCATGGGGGAAAAGAGCAGCTTTGCATTGCCCTCTGAGAACCTCTTGCAGCTGTGATGCATCCTTGCAGAAAAAAGCCCTACAGTCAAATTGCCTGCTTCAGGGGTACTGCACAGCCAGCCAGTCCTAGAGGCCAGAACAGTACTTTTACAAGTGCGGATGTATTCTTGGCTGAGTTTTTTTGTTGTTTCTTCACTATCTGAACACTTGGGAAGGGCCATGTCAGGAGAAAGGAGACTGCATAAAGCTGAATAAAAGATGGATGCATGGAAAAATATGCCCAGATGCCTCTCTTCTGCGATTTGCCCAATACAGGATTGAATAAGAGTCTCTAGTGTGAAATTGGGGATTTTCACCCCTCTGCCTTCTGGGTTTGTCCACAGGCATAATTCAGACCCATCTCACTTCATCCATCCACCACCACTGCAGGAGCCCCATGCATTGGGTGTCTCTGATCATCTCTTCTTTGGATGCCGCAAATTTAAATAAGCTCATGATGGATACACCATACAATGTGTTTGCAGAACATTTTATAGCCTTTGAAGTACAAACAATGCAGTTGGTCTAATGGCCAGAACAAAGCCAAGAAAAATCTCAGTCACACAGGACATCTCTTTCTGTCTAAGGCTACTCCTCCTTACAGGAGAAAACCCTCAACTGACGTAAGCCACAACTGCTTCACTGAATTTTGTGTATCTAGGCAGCTTGCCTGTACTGACACAGGACATCGCTGTCTAGTAGAGACACACGGATAAAGCAAGCCAAGCACACAGAAACTCCCTTTATGTATAAACAATACAGTTCCTTCTGCCAATTTGCTGCAAAATTATTTTACCTTTTACAGCTATCAGGGCAACAAGGAACACTTGGTATTGTGTCACTGTACCTGTGACACCTAAAAAGATGGAAGTTTATCACATCTCCTTCCAAGTACTCATTCAGATTTGCCTGTCCTGAAGGATCATAATGTCCCTGTATGTTACCACATCCCATGTTACAAAAGTATTCCCATTCTGCCTTGCAGAAGATCTTCCAGGGACTATTTATGTTGTATTTTATAAATAAAACAAACACTGGTTTCTAAGGCTTCCTTAAGGAACAGATGCCTCCAAAGTAGTATTTACATAAATTTATTATTAGATTTGCAAGCTGCATGCCTATAATAGGAAAGAAATTAAATTAAATTACAAAAGTAGAACCTACCAGCAACCAAGGCCAACACATCCATAAACATAAATATGGCATTAGGAGTAATGTGAAGGAACTACATTGCTCATTTCACAACCCACTTAAAGCACTGATGAGTTTTTCAAATTTCAGGCAAATTTTGGTGCAAAATTTTCTTTTCTGTAGACTGCTGAACATAGCTAAAGAAAGCGGTCACGCTCATTTTTGTATCATTGGAACAGTGTTTCTGATAGACTCTCTGTTTATTAGGCCATCAAAACTGAAGACAGCCTAACCTGATTATTTTACATGGTAAGGTATTTTACATGGTAAGGTATGATTAATGAATTTAATTTTTATTTTTTCTTTGTCTTGTACCCCCTAACTGAAGGTCTTTTGTTACACAAGGAGCTTTCAGTAACATGCTTGTTCTTAACATTTCTCTGCCAGTATAAAGGATGCCAAAATAAAGCAACAGATTAATTCCAAAGCAGATTTTACACAAGGCCCTGAGAAGAAACAGCTATCCCCTCCATTGCTAAAACCTGTATCACTTCACTGATTTTGAAGAAGCAGCCCCCTCCTCTTACTCAGGGGTCAAAGACTTATACAGTTAAATCATATTTCCCTCTGTGTGTTATGGTTTTCAGTTCCAGTGCTGGCTATGGCTAAACCAGTGCACACAAATGGGGTCAGTCCCTACTCACAGCACCTACTAAGTCACGCACAGCACATATTCACTATAAATTATTAGCCAATAAATCTTCAAACATTCTCCTGCTGCAGACACCATTAGAAGACACTAATTCAAATTACTTCTAAAACCTACTTACCTTACTCTTTACAATTTACACTGTCAAGTCTGTAGTCTCAAATCTGTACCATTTTCATTCATGGGTTGTAGCTCTGACTATCCTACAGCTAACTTCAGCACAAATCAGGAGCAGCATGTTTAATAAGGTCAATACTAATCAAAGTATTAGACATTTTAAACTGGTTGGTTAGTATTAGTATTGCACAGAAAGGAATTCGGTTGTATATCCCATGTCTTGGGTACTTGCAAAAGGCAGAACTGCTGCATTTGTTTGCAGTACAACCCAATGTTTGATAACGGGCCTCGTTATTAAGAAATGCTTATAGAGACACTTCAGAAAAGAAAAAAAAAAGGAAGATAATGGAGACTGGTTTCTTAGGATACAAAAGCTGGCTGTCCCAAGCTCACCTTTAACTCATGACACAATATACTAAGAAAGCATGAACTTTGTTGCAGTGTTTGGTATCACTCAGCTCACATCAGCCCTCTATTTCAGGAAAGGGAGCTAGCAAGCCAAGGCATCTTTGTCCTCTTCCTCTTCAGAAGAGCACTTCACCTCTTAGGAACGGCAAATGATGCTGTCTCTCCTTCCCTGCTACTGTAGACAAGCAGCAGTGAGGACAAGAGGCAAAAGGACTTTTTCCTCTGCCCAGCCCTGATCGCAGAACTTTGCTGCAAGTTAAAGCCAGGAACAAAGTTCCCCTCACTGACTCTGGGGTCATGCTAGCTGCTGGAAGAGCCTAAAGTTCTCGATCATTCAGTCACATTTTGGCCCTGCAGATCTTTACTCCTGCGTCCGTAACAAGTCATCTCCAGTCAGAGATGTTATCACAGCAAAGTACATCTGCAAATATTTTATTCGGTAACTAACAAACTAATCTTTTGGAATCTGTGTGAATCACGCTGCAGCATCACGGAAAACTCCCTTGTTAATTATTACATAGATAATTGCTCCCAAAAGCATGTCTGCTGTAAGGTGAAATGGCAATTTAAGTCAAAGCAAGCCGCTCCCCACAGCCGCATGCACCTGCATTTCTGAAAATAGTTCTGAAACATTCTGGCTGATGAGAAGAGAACTTAAGAGCTTGCAAGAGATGGGAGTGCCTCCTCTGGGATCAGCCCTATTGCATCCAGCACGTCCACCTCGGAGGGGGCCAGAGCAAAGCAAGGAGTTGTGTGAGCACGCATGACTGTCGTGTCCATGCAAGCATGCACACGGGTATGTTTTCATTTATGTCAAGTGCAGAGGGTCAGATCAGACCAAACCAGGGAGATGCATCTCATGACTTTTTAACAAGAAATGGAATTAACAGGAATCTCCCTGATAAGAATTCACTGGGGTAAATTGTTTTACTACAATAATAAACTCTTTATAGCAAATTACCAGGTGAACAAGAGAGAAAATCCACTAAAATTATACATGTGGTGTAATAAAACACGACCCCTAAAGTAATCATTGACTGAGACAAAGATTAAAGAGGCACATGTCAGAGACCAGAACCCTCCTGTATTAGGCATGACATAAACACATAGAAAGTGACAGCTTCTATTAAAAAAAAAAAATAGGGTTGAGAATATGGTTGAGAAGTTTGACAGCTGAAATAGGAAAAAAATGAGACATTGTACAAGGCTGGTGGCACTTGGTCATATGGTGCAGCACAGGAGAACCCTGGTAATGTGCAAACAATAAAGAGCATACTGAAAGAAGCAAAGGACAC